AAAAAAAATGCAAAAGTACATTTTTAAATTGATTTTAAAAAAGTAACGGAAAAGTAACGAAAAGTTATTTTTCAAGTAACGGTAACTGTAACGAGTTACTTTTAAAAAGCGATAACTGTAACTGTAACTAGTTACATTTTTTACTCGGTAACGAGTAACTGTAACTAGTTATTTTTAAAAAGTAACTTTCCATTCCCTGCGTAAGGTAATGCCTTATTTTGCTTTGGTCGCTCTAATATTAAATTTTAAAATTCAGCCAATGGAATACAAATTTTGATTAGGCTTGTAGCTCTATTAGTTGAATTTAGAATTTTGAGTTAAGACCAAAGTATTAACTAGATATAAGGCCGGTATTCATAGTCGGTTCTTATTTCAAGACTGTCTTAAGTAATATCTTAAGATGCTAAAGCGGCCCTCTGGCTGGTATTCATAGTCAGTTCTTATATTCAAGACCGTCTTAAGTTCAATTTTGAGGTGTCATGAACCAATCAGAGGGCCGCTTTAGCATCTTAAGACATTACTTAAGACAGTCTTGAAATAAGAACCGACTATGAATACCAGCCTCTGATTGGTTCGTAACTCCTCAAGACTGAACTTAAGACGGTCTTGAATATGAGAATTGACTATGAATACCGGCCTATGAATATAGTATATATAATGTAAACTATGGATTGTCAATACAAATAGTAAATTTTAGAACACAGCCTAAACTAAATTCAAATTTAAAAAGAATTATGGGCCTTCTACAATAAGCCATAAGTCATAAATTATAAGTTATAAGCTAGAAATGGACCAATTACAGTCGTCAATTTTTAGTTTCTTACTTCTGACTTATGGCTTATTGTATAAAGCCTATTACAGAAACTAAAGCATATAATTTGATGCTGCTTCTGTGTCATGATGTATGATTGTATATTTAAATAAAGAATCAAATTTTCGTGTATAAATTACAAATTAAATTCCTAATCTGACTTATCTAAAACTATCCAATCTAATTTTTAATCAAAGTTGTTTTTTATTAAATTGTTTGGGTCAACAGAACAAATTATCTATATCATAAAAGACATATAAAGGTGCTTTTATTAAAGGCTACAGTAAGATAATAAGAATTGTTAACATTGTTTTTTCGAACATTTCAAACCATGGTTTGAACAATGCGCTTTCACATACTTGTATAATTGACATTAGTTTTATACATTGAGCACATTCATTATACATATATTGAGCATACTCAAAACAACATTTATATAAATATTTTCGTTGCACAATATGTAAGATAAAAATAAAATATATTTTTATGTTAAAGTAATCATATTTATTGAGTTTATGATAAACAATCTTATGAACTAAATTGTATTATATTTACGAGAGTGCAAAATAAATGTGTTGTCAATATTTTAAATAAACATCTAAAATAGATATTAACACTCAATTTTAGAGAATAGTTGAATTGATAATATATTGCATAAAACTAAATAAGTTTTCGAATTTAGTAATCTAATAGTGATTTGTACTTTTTATTTTTAAGGTTCCTGAGTAGTCACCATATTGAATCGTGATGTTAGAAGGGAGAAATATGTTATAATTTTTATTACGTGCCCTTTGTAAATAAAAACAATTTTAAATAAAATGAAATGAGATCACTTTTTAAAATAATTTTAAAAATGGATGAAAGCTATATTTATTCTCCGACAGTCAGTCACACGTACGTAACGTATCATTTTTCGCTTCTGATGTCACGATTCAATATGGTTGTGGATGAATACTGAAGAGCTTTAGGCCTTACGTACAATGGACGAAATATTAGAAACAGGAAAAAAAAATATATTTCTTGTTAAGGTTTCAACTTATCACAAACCATATTTCGGTATAACTGATATCTGATACCCTAATATTTATACGAAATTGTTGTTAGGATCGTTTATAACTATAATTAATAATAATTTTATGTGAAGAAACAGTTAGAATTGTTTATTATGTATTGAAATAATCTAATATTGAAAAATAATAACAGTCGAAACGTCTGCTCTAATGTATGTAACGATTATTAAATATTAGCACTAAACAACCAGCCTTTGTTCTTAGCCCTTTATTTCTTTTGAATTGATTTATTCTCAATTGAACATTTTGTATTAATATTGATTAATATTTATTCCTGTTTCTAATATTTATCCTAATGTGTGTAGATCCTTAAATTACTGATTAACAAAACAAGGTTATTTGATTATCCTGTTACATACATGCATACAATATGTATATTATATACGTACAATATATATATAATACGTCTTAAGATTTCTTTAGACCTTTAAAAAAAATATATATATATGCCATAAATCTTTATAAATTATTAGATTTTTTTTAAATCGTTGGTCCACGTTTCTGAAACTATTATAATTCTGCTAAATCAAGTTATATCTGTAATTATTTGTGAAAAAAACCCGTATTTGATATTAAAACTTTAAGAAGTTCTTATCTTATTCGTAAAACGTTAAATAAAATGTAAAATATATATATATATATATATAAAAAAAAAAAGAAATCCAACTTATATATTTAAAAATATATTTCTCAATATCTGAATTATTTCTTAGGAACTTAGAATAATTTTTGGCACATTAAGTGATTTTCTTAAGGCCATCACACACACACACACACACACACATATATATATATATATATATATATAAACGTACTACAAAAATTTTAGTAGTAATCGTAAGGTCTTAAGCAAATCGGCCAATCACAGTTTGGTGTATTAAAATGTGAGATCGTAATCTTGATTGTGATTGATCGATTTGCTTAAAACCTTACGATTACTACTAAAATTTTCGTACGTGTGATGGCCTTTAGGAAGTATTAAAATAAAGTCATGAACACAATTTTATAATCACTTTTTTAGTTAATCTAAGCTTTAAGTATACAAAATAAATTGAGTTTTGTAACAAGAAATATATTGTCACACAATGGGCTTTCAAATAAAAAATACGGAATTTTACAATGTTATAATTTGATAGCTAATTATGTGACGCAATATTAACAACAAATTAGGTCGGTATTTTCTTGCCGCAAAATATGTTAATGTATAATATATCCTGTTTTTATGTTCATTACATGTAAATTTTGCTGCCACCAGTCCAAATTTCTATAGAGACACAGAATATATCATATAT